TTAACAGATTTGTCTCTTCCGGAATGAATAACTGCAGTTCCCTACTCGCTGTAGTATCTGCTGTAAATCCACGGTAAACAAACTTCAGTAAGTCCAGAATTCGACAGCCAGAATCCTGACCATGTCACATGCAAGAGAGCACATTACTTCTGTCCTATTGTCCTTGCACTGGCTTCCTATCAGGTTTTGTGTCAACTTAAAAACCTTCATTCTACATGGCTTGAGGTGCCCTCAGTACCTGTTTCCTCTCTATCTTGCAATCTTTGTTCATCTGATTCTGGTTTCCTGTTCGTCCTCCAAGCCCATTTATACTCTGTGGGTGACAGGACTTTCTCTTGTTATGCCCCAAAGATCTGGAATTCTATCCCCAGGGATATCAGAGAGTCACCTACATTGAGGGCACTCAAATCCAAACTTAAAACCTTCTTCTCCATCTTCTTTTATGTTATTTATGTCTGTGTCTGTTCTGTGCATCTTCTACTACATTTCTAATTCCCTATCTTTCTTTGCGCTTTCTTTATTTGTGCTAATTTTGTTACCTCCTGCCTTTATTGTTTTGGTTTGGTTTAACTACTTCCATTACTTTTCCTGTAAAGTGCTTTGAGAAAATATTTCAAAAGGTGCTATATAAAATAAAGTTTATTATTATTGTTGCAGTATTAATTGTGTAGGTGTAGGTTGGCATTTTCTTTTGGTTAGATTGAGAAGTAATCAGCAAAATAGTTATTTTTGCAGATGATATCAAATTAGGAGGATCAGCAAACACTTAACTGGAAAAGAAATGAAAGGTCTTTGGTTCTTGACCAAATTCGGGACCTGCTGTATGCAAACTAGAAATAGAAAATTCAATGCACTATTTATAATGACTTAATTTATATGATTGTCTACAACATCGGTCTTGCTGCAAAGATAACATAATGAGATAACAATACACTGCAACATTTATATTTTTAATGTATTTAAAAGGTGACAAATCTACATGAAGCAAACATAAGGAATAAATCAACCTAATGTTAAAGTTAATTAAGAATTTGCAGCACGGGAGTGCATTCAGTGGTTAAGATTTTTACTGTAAAGTATCTGAAGGCCACACAGGGGGAAAGCTAGCAACGAAACCCAGCTGATAATCACTGTTGAGATCCACAGAGAGGCTGGAATTAATCTTTTCACTCTGATAAAGGTTTTTGTTTCCAGGCTCACCCTGTCTGGGTTCCTAGACTGGTGAGGCCAAGCAGAGACCAGGAAAGGTGTGTCTCAGACCCCTTGAGAACCGAGGTTTATGTAACCAAAACTACCATTTGCCACGAACAATAACAGGGGGGAGAAATTAAATGTAACTTCTGTTAAGTGTATTCTTCCACATCTATCCTAATTACTATCACTATTTATCAACGTGTATACAGCAAAATCGGAGTATCACAAAAGTATTTGGTATTTTTTTTCTAGATTTTATTAGCTGATGCTCTATGTGTTTCAATCTTCTCCAGTTAATGCATGCATGTTACTAATACAGTCAGACAGACACAGGAATCCACTTCTATGCTGCAGTCTGTCTCTTCCATACAGGCCACAGTCTTCTCTTTGATCTATAGCCTTAAATGGTCAATGCAAGAAAATCCTCAGGGGCTTCAAGGCCAGGGTTACACAACCTTTGTTTAGATCAAATAAACTTTAAGTCAACTTTTTTACTTTGTTTGGCTTATTATAGTGTGGATTTTATTTGACTATTTTTTAACAAATGTACTGTATTTTATTTTGTAACCATATGCCACAGTAATATTTGTTTTGCTGTAAGACCATGGAAAAATAAAACCATTTTATTTTGCAGACAACTGTCTTTTAAGTTTAGGAGGTTAAGTTTGAGGTTTTATTGCATGATTCTCTGAATGAAAGTTTTAAAAGATTGGTACAGCCTTACTGATGGTCTTTATACTGACTGAAGTTTCAGTCTAAACCACAAGAGGGTGATCTTCATCAAGTTAAAAAATATCTCTTTCATTTTAACATAAGAGATCCAAAAGCTTCCATCTCAGGCATGATCTTAGCCATTATATCAAGTACTTTTTAATGGGTTAGTTAACTACAGTATGTGTAAAAACACTCATCAATAGAATGGTGTAAACAAGGTGTAAAATCTGTCCTGGAAATTGTGCACTGGTTACCTCTTAAAAATGCTTTTTGACAAGTCCTCTCCCCCTTATATTTCTACCCTCTTGTATACCAAAAATGTTAATTTAGTTTATAGAAATACAGGTATACAGAAATATGTGGGGAACTTATATTATTCTGCTGGACCTTTAATGTTGTTTTCTGTATTGTAAAACCACAATCAACATCAGATTAATAAAGTTTTTTTTTTGTTTTGTTTTAGTGATTTCATCTGAAGAAGGAAATTATTTGTTTGATAGACTGTTTTATGTTACACTTGACGCAATTGTTTTCCACAACTATAATTGTTAATGGTTATAGCATAATTTGTGTTCATGACATTAATGATTAAAATGAATATCCTGATCTTAAATATAAAATTAAATACAATTATTGTGAATAAAATAACAACAAAGCAGGTCTTAATAATCAAATACTGATAAATAATAATCATATATCCACTGGAATTTGTTTTCAGTTATCAATAATGGTAACTGGATCTATACAGTATTTGGCCATTTTGCCAATTTTATCTTACACAATCTCTACTTTCAAAATATCTATTGTGTAGGCAGCAGATTCAGTTTAGGAAATGGTATATGCTGATTTATTACATTATATAACCCATATCATATATTAAATCTCAGGTACAGCAGTTTTTAAATGATGTTAAACAGTCATTGGTAAAATCACTATGGAATCCATGCTCTAGTGAATGTTGCACTTCTGTCTTCCATTGGGGATTGCTGTTCAAGCCTCATACATGAAAAATCCTGTTCCAAATTTGTAACCTAAAACAAAAACTTAGATTAAAAGTGTGGAAAGATCATTTACTGTTTTTATCTCGGATGTTGTTTTTTTTATAAGATATCCACATTGTACTTAAGGAACAGAACTTGTTTCCCAAGCTGCGTAAGATAGAGTATCACAGCTCTGGATGTTGTTTGTGCTCTAAACTGCATCGCATCTTGACTGAGGTCACTAGTTAGACCTCTCAATGTCTCAGCTCATCTCCTCCCAAGCATTTTGTTGTACAGTTTGTTACTTTCACTTTGACACCTCAAATTTGTCCACAAATTCTCATCTGCCTTCCCTCTTTGCACCTCCTAAAATGTTTGACTATCAAGAATGGGCTGTGAACCACGGCTGAACTCTGCTGTGATTGCTCATCCTGTATGGTAAAATATTGAGTAGCTAATACTTCTAATGTATTATTGTAGAAGTACACTGCCATTTGTTTGGCCAATCCATACTGTGCTTGTGCTACAGTGGATTACAAACATAATCAGATCCTTCCTAGGGTGTCCTATTTTGTGAAATCAATCAAATCAAATCAAAGTTTATTTATCAAAGCACAACCTACAGCGGTTGTTGCTGGCAATGAGATGTCTTTTCTGCGAGCTCAAAAAAAACAAGAATCACAAGAATCACAAAAATAAAAAACAAATCACAAAAATCACAAAATTAGGGTTACGAAAATAAGGTTACATGATAATGGATAATAATGTAATAGAAATTGGATAAAACGCAATATGAATAGAGCTGCTATATGTCCATGGTGTATGCAATATATACAATTAGTGTAGTATGCTGAATACAAAGAAAACAGAATATCCATGCAGCCATTACGGGTGATTTGCTATAGGATGGTTGGCTGTTTAGCAGTCTCACTGCCTGGAGGTAGAAGCTGTTCCGTAATCTTTTGGACTAAGACCGAATGCTTTGGTACTGTTTACCAGATGGTAGGAGGGAAAACAGTTTGTGACTGGGATGACTGGGGTCCTTGAGAATGGACCTGGCCTTCTTAAGAAATCTAGCTGAGTAGATATCCTGGATGTTTGGTAGTTCGCAGCCGGTAATGACTTCACCACCCTCTGTAGTACTTTGCGATCCCGGGCGGAGCAGTTCCCATACCAGTCAGTAATGCAACCAGTCAGGATGCTCTCGATAGTGCACCTGTAGAAGTTGGCCTGGATATGTGATGGCATGCCAAACGTCTTTAGCCTGCGGAGAAAGAATAGGCACTGCCGTGCTGTTTTGACCACAGTGTTGGTGTGGTGGGTCCAGGTTAAGTCCTCTGAGATGTTAACTCCCAGGAACTTAAAACTGCTGACCCTCTCCACTGCAGTCCCATTGATTTAGATAGGTGTGTGATCTCCTCCCTGGTGTTTCCTATAGTCTTAGTCTTACTGATGTTCAAGAGAGTTGTTCTGGCACCATGCTGCCAGGGTTTCAACCTCCTCCCTGTACGCAGACTCTTCACCATCTGTGATCAGGCTGATGACTGTTGTATTGTCCGCAAACTTGATGATGGAGTTTGAGTTATGCCTGGCGACACAATCATGGGTAAATAAGGAGTAGAGGACAGGGCTAAGCACAGAGCATTGGGGGGCTCCAGTGTTAAGAGTCAGGGTAGAGCATATGTTGGTGCCCACCCTCACCACCTGAGGATGTTCCGTCAAGAAGTCCAGGATCCAATTACAGAGGGAGGCGTTCAATCCCAGGTCCTGGAGCTTGATGACAAGCTTTGAGGGCACTATGGTATTGAAAGCTTAGCTGTAATCAACAAACAGCATTCTCACATATGTTCCTTTCTTATCCAGGTGTGAGATGGCAGTATAGAGGGCAGTGGCAATAGCATCTTCTGTTGACCTGTTCTGGGGATACGCAAATTGCAGTGGGTCTATGGTGTCAGGCAGTGAGGAGGTGATGTATGCTTTGACCAACCGCTCGAAGCACTTTATGATAACTGATGTGAGTGCTACAGGGCGGTAGTCATTCAGGCAGGTGACTCTGGGTTTCTTAGGAACAGGGACAATGGTGGTTTTCTTAAAACAAGAAGTAACTATAGACTGAGCTAGAGATTGAATATGTCAGAGAAGACATCTGCCAGCTGGTCTGCACATGCCTTCAGAACTACAATTACAATTGTACAATTCAGAACTAAAATTACATGAATTACAAATTCATTCATACACATTTTTTTTAACTTCATATTTAACCCAGAACCAGAATGTTCAAACCAAAATCAAGTCAAGGTAAGTTACAGTAAATGTCAGCAAAAACTAAAAAAGCTAAAACTCACCGTGATGGCATAAGTACCCAGACCCATGAACTCAATTAAAGCTGGAAGTCCTTTTCAGCAAGTCTCTACTAACTTTGCACACTGGCTTAGTGCTTCTTGTCCATACTTCTTGGCAGATGTGTTCTAGCTGTTTCAAGGTGCTCACAGATCACTGCTTTCAACACATTCTCAATATCACCCAAGTCAGGACATGACATTCACCTTCTCTTACACCACACCAGTGCAGCTTTAGCCTTGTGTTTTGGATCATTCGTCTCCTGAAAAATTAACTTTCTCCCATTTGACCAATATTGCCTCAGCAGACAGAAAAAAAGGTTTTCACTAGCTAGTACTTTTTCAGCTCATATTTCCTTGAATCTTGGCATGTCTCCCAGATCATCCTGAAGAGAAGCATCCCCACAGCATGATGCTGCCACCAATATGCTTGACTGTAGGGATGGTGTTGACTGGGAGATGAACTGCTTCGGGTCTGTGCCAAACCGCACATTTGGCATTCAGAAAGTTCCAATTTGGTGTTATCTGAACATACAGTAACACCTTATGATACATTTTCACAAACAGACAGAGGTCACTCAACTAATTGTGTGTCTCATTAAGGTAATTCTGAGCACCTAAATTAATTTATGTTTGCCACAGCAAAGGGTTAAATATGTATGTAATGGTGACTTTTACATTTTTTCATATTGATGATCTATTCACGTCTCTTTTGTTTTTATGAAACCTGCAAGAGTCTGAATAATACTCTACCTGATAACAAGATGTCCTTGATTCCAGATTTTGATTCTTTCTTATTTTGTAAAGAAACATAAAGTGTTGGTTTATCCATTTATCTATTTCTTCAGTCCTATAAGAAAAACAGTCAACTTGAATTTTAAAATAAGGGAAGATGAAAAATAAGATGAAAGAATACCTGTGGAGTTTATGAACAGTCAGTTCATAAATAGGGTAATATAAGATAATGCAAATACAAAACTTTATAAAATTGTTTGCTGTTTATAATCATTTGTATGACAAAGTATGATGGTGACAGGAATATTTGCATTAATTAAATTAAAATTCTGACTTTGACATTGAATGTAATGAGATGTAGACAACATTGTATGAGCTTTATAAAATAAAAGAAAACTAAAAGGATTAATTATGGGTGACAGTACATGTATAGTGTTTTGGATTTAAAGATAGTCAAATAATACACTAGTTACAATAGCAGAATAAGAATCAAATAAACACATTGAGAATACCTTTGACAGTGATTTATTTAAAGGGTGAAATCTTTATTGAGTACTGAACACCATGGCTAGCTGTCCTCAACTGCAAACCACCCCAAAACTTGTTCCTACTCTCTTTCATTGAACTGTCACATTGATGCCCTGTGATTAAAATTAGCAAGCCTATATACACTTCCTTTAAAGAACGTATGAAATGTTGCAACAGCGAGGGGGCCATTTGAATTAGCTATCTTATTTAGTTACTCTTAACTAATTAATCCTAAAATCTCATCCAGCGACTTCTTGAAAGAAACCAGGACATTGCCTTCAGCCACATGTCTGGACAGCTTGTTACAGAATCATATAACCATTTCTGCAAAAATAAACCTTTTGTTCTCAGTTTTAAATTCATTTCCCCATAGTTCCCTATTGTGTTCTCTGGTTCATGTTACACTGTTGATTCTGAAGAAGTTTTATAACTTAATTGATGTTTTTGAGGATTTTGAGTACTGAATGTCATAGTGCATTGTGGAAGTTATAACTGCAACATAGCAAGCCTTTTTAAGATACACTGTGGTCATTTAAGATGTCCTAAATAGTCTGCCTTATCATTCCTGTCTGGATAGTCTTGTGCAGAGGGATCACTTTTCTAAGGGCCGAAAAATACAAAAGCCCATGACAGTCTAAACAATAACCCGTCAGTACACTGCACTGTATTTGTGTCCTGAGGACACCAGACATATGATATCAATATCACCACATTGTGAGAAACCTGATGAGCTGAAGAGAAAATCAAGGGAAGAATGTCATATTCATAGAATAGGATTTGTCATCAAGAGTTAAATTATCAAACGCCTTCATGAGTTTCCTGTTGGAATCAATGGGCACCTGATGACACTTTGTCACAAATATCCAGGGAACTAATACACTAATGTGATTACAAAGAAATCTATGTAGAGTACTGGGCTAACTCTGGTTTGCCACTCAATGGCACTGTATATGACCGACTGTAATCATGCACCTTCATAAGTTAAATCGATGTGGCCAGAACTCCATCTTGTGTTGAGAAGGGACGTCTGCCATTCACTTACTGTTGGACTTTTAAAAAGAAATAACAGTAATACACCTGTGTTGGTTATATCCACAATATACAGTGTCATTTAATTTCACATAACAAACTGAGAGACTCAAAAGAAAAAAAAAACAACACAACCTGAAGTACCAACTGACTGTGAAAGGTGTACCATGTCTGTATATCTAAACCTGTACAACTGTATTTTGTGGAGAAACAGAAACAGGAGTTTCCTAAGAGTGTGTATGTCTGGATGTAAACTATTTTCTGGCTATAAGTTATGCTCTTTTTAATCTGTCTGTCTGTTTTTTTGCAAGACAATTAAACCGGCTTACATCTACACCACTGGAGCTGTGGCAGGAGCCACATGTCTGTCTAATTGGCTTCCAAAGAAAAGCCATGTCCACAGGATATTAACAATGCACCTGGACAAGCTGTAACGAACAGTTCTTTCCGGACCCTATGCGGACGACACAGTCCGACGGAGTGGGGAAACACTAGGGAAACGTCATGCAGGAAAACGGGGCTGAAGACAGGGGGGCGTGTCCAAGGTGCGCT